GGGCTGTGGGCTCCCCGGCAGCACGAAAGGAGACGTGGACTTGGTGAAGCAGGTCCACGGAGTGAAGAACCACGAAGATGACAGAGAGATGGGAGCATGCGATGGGCAAGGGGAGGCTGAGGGAGCTGGGACTCTGCAGCCTGGAGAAGAGGAGTCTCAGGAGAATGTTTTGATCCATATAAAACCCTGATGGAGGGGTGTGAAGAAGATGGAGCCAGTCTCTTCATGGTAGCGCCTGCTGCTGCTACAACAGCCAGTGGGCACAAGCTGAAATATGAGAAAATCAGCTTCAACACAAGAAAACCCTTTTCTGCTGCAGGAGTGATGAGGTTCTGGAGCAGGCAGTCAGGCAGGTTCTGGGATCTCCAACCCAGCTGAACAAGGACCTGAGCAGCCCACTGCAAGTGACCCTGTGGTGAGCAGGGTGCTGGGCTAGCAGGTCTCCACAGGTCACTCCCAGCCTCCTCCAGGATTGTTCCTTCAGACTTTGGGCAACTCTATATCTTCCCGTTCTCTTATCCCAAAGGGGAGCTTGGTGGGTCTGAGTTTGCCAGTTTTTTAAAAAACTGGTCACTGTCTTGTGGTATGCTGGGGTTTGCAAAGCTATCCCAGAGTCAAGATTAGTTTAGCAAACAGCTTAATCATTTGAATATTATAGTAATATGTGTGTATGTACAATGTGTATGTATAGAGTAATATATTGACAGCTGTGTATAAAAAAAAAAGTATAGAAAATACTGTAAAAGGAAATTAGTCAGTAATGAGAAGCAATATCTGTTAATTTTGTTGATATGTCACAATCCAGATATTCAAGTCTCTGGTTCTTAACTTCCCCATCTGACCTGGGAAGTGAATAGTTACTGCAATCATTGCTGATCACTCTTAAAATTGTATCAGTTTGCTATAGAACTTTGTTGGCTGCTTTGAATAGGAACTAACTGTTTTTTAAACAGTGGGAAAAATGGGAAAAGTTCAAAGAAGGATATCCTACAAAACAGGGGAATCCTTCTCTTTGCTCTCAGACTTTCCCAGTTGAATCTGCAGCAGGAGATAATACATTCCATTACTGAGATGAGGTTTTGTTTCTAGTTCACTTGCACGATTCAGTGTTTTCAGTAGTTTTACAGTAACCTGCAGCAATTCAGTTCCTGAGGTAAATTCGGATCTGGAGAGAGTGGCATATCTCATGAGTGGGCAGGTTGAATGTTTTACCTTTGATGTTAGTCAAGGGAAGTTCTGTTACATGTCTGACTGGCTGGCTTAAAATCCATGGACATGCTTCTGAGAAGGATATTGAAGATATATCTGAACTACTGCACAGAAGAAGAAGAAAGTTCCCAAGATCTCACTGTATATTTTTCCTATGTGCTTTTTTCCTCCTTTACGTTCTTTTAAAAATTTGAATACTTACTCACATTAGATTTTTTTTTAAGTGGCAGGAGACACATATTTAATTAGAAAGAATTTTTACATCTTTACCGTTAGTTCATATTTTGATTATTTTAATTGAAAAGTTCATCTTTTGATATATGCTGCTACCCGTGATCCCTCATTGTAAGGAACATATTTATTTGGGTTGTATTGTGATGTGCAAGGCAGAAGTGTACGCTTCCAGTTAAAATAAATTCATGTCATCTAGGCACGGAAGGTCCTGGTGTCAGTGTCTCAGAGGAGAGACAGAGTCCTGCTGAGAGCAGTGGCATAACTGTCATCTACAATCCTTATGCTTCCCTTTCTATTGAACAACAAAGACAAAAGCTGCCTGTTTTTAAGGTACAGAAGTTCTTTTTGGTATATTAAGTCTGTTGCATGATGTCTGACTTGTCTTTTTTTCAAAGAGCAGTATGGAATCACTTTACAACATAAAACAATTTTATGACCTCGCTTTCTTTATTTGTTGGAATGAATTGTCCTATTTGACAATGTTACTGACAGTTTACAGGCTTTGTAGGTTTGTATTCATTACTATATGTTGTGCATGTCACATAGATTTTAAACAACTGTTTCACTTTTGGTAGTAAACTCCATGTAAAATGAATTTACTGTGTCTGTTAGATATGTAAATATTATCATTTTAATTATTCTTATTTTTGCACACACCTGTGTTTGATACTGAAATGTAAACTTTTCTTTCAGCTAAGAAATCACATACTTTACTTAGTGGAGAACTACCAAACGCTGGTGATCGTTGGGGAAACAGGTTGCGGGAAATCAACACAGATTCCACAAGTAAGTGTCTGTTCAACTTTATAAAACCAGGTATTCCTGCAGGGGATTTTACATGAAATGTTAAACCAGCAAACCAGAACTGCAGTGTGAGAATGGGATTCACCTGTGCTCCTGTGTGTGACCAAAAGGAGAGAAATACAAGGCTTTTATATTGGGCAGCAGGAGCTGGTATATTTGTAATATAAAACCTTCTTCCACTAGAGGAAAGGACTATACACAACAAATAAGTCTGTGCTGGACAAATAGTAGTCACTGTGCTATAATAGGGGTTTATTACTCTATCAGAATTATGTTTAAAATTTTATTGAGAATATGGTTTTAAGAAAGAAAAAAGACACGCTTTTCTTATGAGCTTTCCTCTTGGAAATTTTCAAATATTGTATTTTTTTGTGGTTTTGTGTAACTAATTTGCCCAAGGTCACACATCAGTGTCAGAACCAGAGAACCAGGAAGAAGCACATAGTGTGGAGAAATAACACCTCACTGTAATCACAGCGTTTATTTCTTAATTAATTAAGCAATTAATTCCTTATCCTCAATGTTTGTTTGCAGTACCTGGCAGAAGCTGGCTGGACAGCAGAAGGAAGGGTTGTTGGGGTGACGCAGCCTCGCCGGGTTGCTGCTGTTACAGTAAGTTTCTCCGTGTCCGAATTTTCCTGGTTTATTGTCATTATAACCTCCAGTTTATTAACAGCTTTTGCTGAATAGCAGAAATCACCACTGCATGAGCTCCTGAATGAACAGACGTTTCTGCTTATCTTCCTCACAGGATTGCTGGTGCTGTACACTGAATTCAACCTGATTAGTAGGTCTTGCCAAAGATTCCAAGTCCAGAATTGCAGATGTAGAAGCTTTGAAATAAAATTGCTTGGTATCAGCAGAACTGTGTACAGAAGTTAGGGCTGCACAGGGCTGAGCTATGATTGACTCTGGACTAAAACTGTGCTTGTGTGACCATTAACTTCTTTCACAAAGTAGTGATGTAAAACTGTGTATGGTAACGTAGCCAGGAGGTTGTGTACCTCTTTCTAGCAATTCATACCTAGTTTTCTTGAATCTTTTTTCTGTGGTTTTTGTTGTTGTTTTCTTGGAGGGTTTTTTTGTGTTTCTCCTTGTAAGCGTTTTGGGGAAAAGAAAGAATTTTATTGTCACAAATCTTTTAATACACACAGTATGTCTAGGAGAGCATAACATCAGCTAGATGTACTATGACAGGTAGAAGATGGGGTGCTGAGGGCAACAACTCTGGTAATAGTCTGCACAAAAGGCATCCAGTGCTCCTTGTCTTCATGACTGCTGCCGAGCACTGGCTTGGTGGGCTGAAGTTTCTGCTGCAGAATTCTCTTTGTACAGAAAACTGAGATGCCATTTTGCAACCCTCCTTTTGCCAGTTCTTCATAATGTATTAAACTGTACCTGCAATAAGTCAGCTTATGCCTTTGGTAGAAGTGTAGTAGACTGAAGAGCTGTACAGCTTGCTGTTTCATCTCCTCCAGTATTCTTTGACCACATCCAACATGGTTAAGGAAACAGTTTCTAGCAGTGATCTACATCTTGTGCTTTGGGCAGTCTGCCTGCAGAGTCCTCCCTTTTCTCCTTCATAGGACAGTGCACAGTTCTGCAGGAGATGTTGTGTATACTGCAATGATTTCTCATCACAAACTTACTTCTCTTTTTCCTTTGATGTCTTAACACGTTATTTTAAAGCCTAAAATAAAAAGATTACTCAATTAGGGCTTAGTATGTAGATATAGGATTTTTCTTCAAGAATGTTGTTGCAAACTGCCTGAACTGTCTGGTTGTTCCGGGGAGATGAGAAATATAGTTGGTGATTTATTGCTTTGTCTTGAACTGAAAGTGATCTTTTATTTTAATTAGTATACTTACCTTCTTTCCCATCCAGAGTAAGAGGGTTGTCAGAAGTAAAGACAGGTAGTTGCAGAGGCATAAGGCATGGTTTAGAAATTCCGTAACTTCTGCTTGCATTACCCAGGCTGACAATTATCCTGAACACTTGGGCTGAGAGTGGTGGAGTGGTAAGATTTCAAGTGAAATAATGAATTCCCAGCCTGTCAGTCTGGTTTAGAATGTCACTCAAATGACTGCAAGTAGCTTGCTCTTGGAATTCTACTAGGGCTAATGTATGTATTGTGGAGTTTTTTTGTGTCTTTAGCTATTAAATGTCTTTGTAGCTTGTTGACAGCATGACCTGATAATACCTAATATTCTGTAGAATAAGCCTGAATAACTCAAGATTTTTAGCTAAAGGAGCTATTGGCTTAAAACTGGCCCAGGGTAGTACTGTTCCAAAAACAGTAAACTACTTTTAATTGTTCTGCCAGTTCTCTGTTTTCTGAATAGAAGATTCTATATTATGAAAAGTACAGTAGAATTTTCATTTAAAAAGTCTGTGTAAGTTCAGCATGAGATCAGCTTAACTGATAACTTTTTTCCGCGTGTCATATATCTGTACTTTTTTCCTTTTTTGCATGCCAGCTGTGTTCTTAAATTGCACTCCTGGCAAATGGTCCTTCTCCAGCATTGTGACTGGTTGAGTGTCTGCTTTTGTAGGTCTGTCAGAGTACTTATCACAGAAAGGTACCTCTGTAGCTTTCCTGAGTAGAAACAGATTAATTAAGCTACACTGAAATATTTTAAAAGTTTTCACCACTTGTATGTCCAGTATGCACTGTTATGTTGAACAGAATTTTGTGTTTGAATGAGAACAAATAATTCTTTGGAAACATTAGATCTGTTCCTGTTTTGATGCAAATTCTCTTTGGACAAAATAATGATACAATGAAGAAATGTGCTGAGAGCTGTCTCTTGTTTATAAGAATCTCTTTTCTCAGGTTGCAGGCCGAGTTGCTGATGAAAGAGGTGCAGTACTGGGACATGAAGTTGGATATTGTATTCGGTTTGATGACTGCACGGATCCACAGGCTACCAGAATTAAGGTGAAACACTAACAATATGTGGTTACTCTGAAAGGATTGGCTGAAACTCTTCAAGTACTTTTGCGAAATTAATGAGACCCTTGTGATGCCCAGTGAAGAGAATAGATAGCATTCCAGTTTTCCAGGTGGGGACCCCAGAAGTGTGCTTGAAATGGCTGTGACTATCCAAACCTTAATAAAACAAGTATGTGTTTTATTCTGCTAGTCTGGCAGCCACCGTTTAAAAACTAAAGGAGATTTTCAAAGCAGGTATGGCCAGATGTTGGTACAGTGCTCGTGTGACCTGATATGTCACTCAAAGTTATAGTGAAAGGCTGCAGTGAATCACAGCTCAAGTATCCTTGCCACCCTAAAAATAGGTTTTGATTAAAAGCACTGATAAAACAAGATGAGTAGGCTAACAGAGTAATTTGCTGTGGATTAAATAGCAAGCTGTGCAGCTGTTCTTTAGTGCTGTAAGCAATATTAATGTTGCTTGTGTTGGTACAGACGAGTTTGCTTTAGTTATGCTGGAATAGCAATGATGATGAATGAGACAATTTACTTTCTGTTTTTTTTTCTGAGGCTAGTAGCCCTTTTAAAGTGAAAGAAATTGAGATGTTTGTTCATTAAATGCAGCTGAAATATTTCTTTTTTTTTTTTTATTTTGAGTATGATGATTAATCCTTTGGAATTGGAAGTTTTGAGGTTTTTACCTTGCATACCAGTTCTTGCCTATTTCAAGGCCACAGCTGGAGTCCCAGGTCAAACTACTGTTTGATGACCATATAACGCTGGTGGGTTTCCACTGGCTAGTAGGAAGAAAGTATTAAATTAAAATGTTGCATTTTGTTGAATTTCTGGTCAGAGTTGTGTGACAGATATTAAGTAACCTACTTTGAGAGGGTCAAGACTGACACACAGGATGTTATTGGTGGGACAGATTTAGCCATTTACAGACAAGAGTGAAGAAACTTCTATTGCCATGTTCCAGTGCTGCCAATCTGTTATTTTTTTCAATATAAAAATAACTGTTTTTTCTTTTATTTTTCTTTAAAAAAAAAAAAATACTGATTAAAAAGCAATCATTCTGCTTATCTCTGGTTAGCACTCAGAAATACACATTCAGCTGTCACAGCTGAAAATTGATCAATTTAATAGATCATTAGAAAATTAAAGGCAAGGAAGAATTCAGACAAAAGCCTAGAAAATAATAATTAAAAATCACATGGGTAATCAAGACCAGCCGATAGGGTTTTTTTTAACATTTTTCTTTGCATTTACTTTTAGTTTCTAACTGATGGGATGCTGGTGAGAGAGATGATGGCTGATCCTTTATTAACAAGATACAGGTAAGGACATGGAATGAATGTTTGCTGAAGTGTCATTTGTTAAACTGCATTTTTTTTTAGACCAAGGTGTGGTTATTATGAATGAAATACCAAAATATGTGAAAATTATTTTAAGAATTTGACTTCTTTATGTTGTAAAGACTGTTAGAAAGTCAGTTGATCATTGCAACACCAAACACGGCAGGATTTGCTGATGTGGTTCTGGAACAAAAGTTAAATGGGCCTCATGGCATCTGGATTGTTTCATTTACTAGTTTTAAATTCACTTTTTCTTTCTCATGCTAATCAAATAAAAAATCAGCAACAAACACAGGCTATTCTAGTATCCAGAAAACCTATGCAGTACAGTAAAGATACACCTTTTTTCTTCTGCCTCTTTCCAAAAGCTAGCCTGAATAAAGAACAGTATGTATGGATCACATGGTGTTATCAAAGTTTTTCTCCCTATTTCATCACTGCACTTTTTTTTTAACTTCCACAGTTTTCTAAGTGGTTGTAAACACTAATACTCCAGCATTAGATTTCAAATAATGATTTTGCTAGAAGACAAGAAGACACCAATTCTAGTGTCAATCAAACCATTTCTGAAATGTTATCATTCTGCTTTATTCACAGTGTCCTCATGCTGGATGAAGCCCATGAAAGGACTCTCTATACAGATATTGCCATTGGCTTATTAAAAAAGGTTATTTTTTTAATGTTCTCTGTAACCATTTTCATTTTTATCCTTTTCATTAAACGTCTAATCCTGATGGCTGATTAGTGAACCCATTTCAACCTACTGAAGATCTGACTTCCACCACTAACTATTACAGACTCAATGCCCTTAAATGAATATGTAAAATTCCAGACACTCATCAGGTTATAGATCTACGGGGTGATATGGGTGCTTCACTTATATATCTTCAGCTGTCCAATACTTCAACTGTCTCACAGTTTTGAAGTATTTTTAAAGAGAAGTTCCTAGTAACCTGTGTGCTCTGAAACTTGGTTTTAGCCTTGTATCTCAGAAAATAGTTTTTACTCTGGATGTTCTTGGTCTCTCTTCTAGGTTCAAAAGAAGCGTGGGGATCTTCGACTGATTGTGGCTTCAGCCACCTTGGATGCAGAGGTATAGCTCAAAGATTTGGTTTGAAATGAAGTGACCTTAAGTGGCAGCTCCAGTTCTATTTATATACAGCTTATCCTCCGTGCTGCTTGCTTCTTGTAAAGCATTACTGCTGTTTGAGTGGTGAAGAGAGGGAGTAGTACAGGGAAAAAAAATCTGCTGCAGTTAAGTTGCTGTGTTTGGTTTTCACTTTGTATTAGCGAAATTTTTTGGAAGTGAATTTAGGTATGAATCTACTTTTCATGTATTTATGCCTTTTTTCCTCTTATTGGTGGTGGTGTTTAAAAAGATGTTCTCTTGGCTTAATCTAGTCTCATAAGAGATGTTGATTTAACTCTGTTTTGCTGATTGCAATAATTTGAGACAACCATAGACCAGTAAAAATAAGGAATAAATGAGTAGATTTAATTCAGTGAGATTTTACTAGTGCCTTGATTGACTTGTAGCCTGTGGAAACTTATGTAACTTACTAAAAGAATTGTTAATTTAATTTTGAGTAGGAACAGAAGAAATAATCTCCTAGATCAGAGCAGCATTTAATCCAGACTGGTATTCTGTCTGTAGCAGCAGCTACAATAGGAGATGCTGTTTAGGGAGAGCATATGAGCCTGTCCACCTGCTGTGGGTCTGTTCTCTCTGAGCTGCTTCAGCATCTGCAGTGGTTGTAACCGAGATACTGGACAGTACATTCCTGCTGTTTCATTCTAGTGTATGTTAATGGACCTGCTGTTTGTTAATTTGTCTTTGAGTGTGCTTGGCGAAGCTGTATGTCTCCAGGACATCATGTCAGAGCAATTTTAAGATATTTGCAACCAGCTATATAATGAAGTACTTTATTTAATTTATTGTAAACCTGCTAGTTTCATCAAGGACCTCCTAGTTCTAGTAGTGTGGGATTTGTTTTTAAACCAAACAAACAATAAAAAACCGGTTTTACATTTACTTTATCTGTCACCTTTGATTCTGTAAACCTCAGCTGTGTGTCTTCTCAGCTCCCCAAGCAGAGCCCCAGCCTTTTCAGTGTCTCCTCACAAGGCAGCTACTTCATCTTCTTTATCACCTTCATTGCTTTTCTCTGTACTTCTTCCGAACTCCATTGTGTCCTTCATGAGATGTGATGAGAGCTTGCAATGTAGTACTGAAGCTGTAGGTGTACTGAGATTTCCTTTAGTGGCAAATGTCATCTGCTGTAAATCTCAATAGCATACTGTGCTTTGGTAGTACTTGCACTATTGTATTCTGTACTTTATATTAGTTAACATTACAATACTTTGCCTTTGCAAAATTTTAACTGCCAAAAATCACACATTTAAAATAGTTTACAGTTAATGTAAAAAATAAGATAATAGGAGCAAAATTATTAGTCTGGCTATATAAACATTTGATTAAATGCAGAAAGTTTATGGTATCTACATAATGGTTATAAAAATTGAGATGCATTATTTGGGTTCTTAATGTTGATTCTTTTGTTATTACATAGTTGAAATAGTTCATGGCAATAAATCTAAATTTATGAAGGTGTCTCATAGCACATAAATCAAAACCTTACATAAATCAGCCTAACTCTGCTTTTACAAAGTGAGATTTTGGAGTTCAGCAAGAGCTGTAAAATTTACTTACTCATCCAAAAATGGATGAGAATATGCAAGCCCTCCCCAAAACTCTTGGGACCTATCATTTCTAAGTTCTTCTTAGCTTCGAGTTCACTACTGTTACAGATCCAGTAAAAAGTTTATATATCTGCTTTTTCCCAACTGTATCAGATGATCTAAGTAATTTTATTACCTGTTTTCAATCTTTGCTTCTCAAAGTAATAAACATGCAAGACACTGTATTTATGCTGAATGCCTGAATCTCAGGCAGAATAGAAAGCAACAAAATTAAAATTTTTAAATAGGAACTTTATCAAAATACTGTCAAATTTCTGAAAAATAACCCATCCAAGTAGTAGTAATTTAACTTTGTCATGTCTTTAGGTTTCTCCCAGATTTCTTTTGAAGTATCAAACTGAAAGTTGTTGTTTTTTATTTTAATATAGAAATTCAGGGATTTCTTTAATCAAAATGAGACCGGTGACCCCAGCAAAGATACCAGTGTGATCCTTACTGTTGAGGGGAGAACATTTCCAGTGGACATCTTTTACATCCAGAGGTGTGTTGCTGTTTGATCTTGTCAGTAGTGATTAGGAGAGTGTGCAACTGAGGTATCATTTTGTCTAGGTTAGAGCTCAGAAATTCCCAACGGTAAGGAGGTGTAACACTCAATTTAGGAAACATTTGGGTATTGCTTATAGCACTAGACATGTTTTTAAGCTTACTGTGGTGTAAAGGGAATAAATTAATGGCTGAAGGCTGATTCCCAAGGTTGCATCATGAACTAAATGTGGTATGGCCAACATATAGTGTCCAAAAGCTAGTGCTCTGTTTGTTCCTTATGGATGTGAAGAGTCTGTTAGCTATTTTTCTCCTAATCTCTCTGCTATTTTCTCTCCTCATAGTCCTGTTCCAGACTATATAAAATCAACTGTGGAAACTGCAATGAAAATTCACCAGATGGAGAATGATGGTGATATACTGGCATTTTTAACCGGCCAGGTATAGATATAAGCAGGTTTTTTTGCTTTACAGCACTGTATTTTAATCTCATTAAAGATGACAAATATTTCTGCATTGGTGGGAGCAGAATTAAGCCAGTCCAAAAGACTTTTAAAAACAAAAGTAATTATGGTCTGAATCACAGAATGTTGGGGATTGGAAGG